TCATTAGCACCTCTAGTAATATATTTACTGAGAAAAATGGTGACGTGTTCAACACTTATTTTACCCGCTGTATATATAAACACATACACATTTGGGTATATGAGGTCAGTCTGTGAGTTAAGCAGAGTTCAGTGCTCACTGAATGTGTGCATGGAGCATTAGCTATTCTTGTCAAAGTGTTTTAAAWGACCTTACGTGCAGTAAGAGATCTSACAATGTGTATCAGTGCTCAAAATATTCCACAGTGATGACTCTCAGAATAGTTATTGTCTTGTTTGTGTTGGCTAAGTTCCATCAGACCTGTGTTTGCTGGACTTTCTAAAGAAGTAGGAGACATTCAGTACTGTTAACGCAATGAAACACTAATTTATATAAAAAATAATTAATCCATGATTTATCGCCTCCTGTTTTTATTTGTATGATTCTACTTTAATGTCTTGTTAGTCTACTGTTTGCTTCGTAACATTTTGTATTTATAATATTYAGGACGTTTTAGCTCTCTTTAAAACCCAAACCAGGGAGAAGTTGAGCAGATTCACCTCAAAGTCCTTATAGTATGGACATCTTTTATACCACACAGAATAAAACACAAATAAATCTGAAGCCACCTGCAACATAAAACATTTCTCACTCAAGCATGGAAAATAAAAACTCTGGAGAATGTTTCAAGGTTTTTTCGAGACTTCCTCCTGAACACCGTTCGTAATTTGTCAACAAGAGTCATGGCCCAGTGAGACGCTACCTTCAAGCTTGAGTTGAGCGTCAGCTTTGGTTTTTATACATGAAGAATTCAATAAATAGATCAAAAACTCACAGACATACAGTATGACAAATTCAAATCATTTGTTGTTTCATGGGGTTCTGCAGCATCAGGTAACACAAAGCCTATAGGCCTGGCCTTCCTTTGTGACCACAACAAAAACACAAAACCATTTATAAATATCTGTCATGAACTGGAAACTCATGTAAAGTAAACCTTACCTCTCAGCTGGTGACAGCTGCAGACTGCAGCCCCTCAGCCTCACAACCCTGAGCAGGATTAAACCACTACAGGGAAGGATTACACACATATAAATACAATGGACTATTAAACATCTCTGGTCATTCTTTCCATTACGCTTTTTCTACTTTTATATCCTGGTCACTTTCCTGCCCACAGGTGATAAAAGTATCTTCATAGTTTATTGGGCAAACACTAAAACAAGACAAATCAGGATTATGTTTTTTCTTCTTCGTGCTTTTTCAAATGCACTGCRTTTTCTGATTCAAATATCAATGTGAAATAAACACTTTCAGCTGGTACTGTATTCTCTAATTATTTTTACTAAATCACAAACAATCAGTGAAGATTCAATACCTATTGTTTTTGTGCCTTATTTCTATTGACAGTGTTGCATTTATAAATTGTAATATACTGGTTTCTAAAATAATATGCTTTTATTTTAGTTATTAGGAAATTGTTTCATGTTGGGCTGAAGATTTTTGCACCAAACCTTCCTCTTGTTGGAGCTGCAACAAACCCTGTTCCACACATTAAAGAACGCAGTACAAGCTTTAAGTAGAATTTGGAACGTGCATCCAAAATATCTTGTTTTTGGATTGACAGCTGCAGAGTCCCACACACTTGGCACAACTACAAAACTAACATAACATTATTTTAAAATGTACGTTTTTTTTTCACACACTTTGCTTTACTTAGTGAGTAAAGTTGTATTTAAAAAAATAGGAATGCTTTAAAAAAAACCTGTTTGGAGCATTGCACAAGTGCTTAATTACAGACAGGTGATGATATAAAAGGAGAATCTTCAAAAGGCTCAATGACTCACAAGCAAGGATGGGACAAGGATCATCACATTCTGAACAACGACGTGAGCACGTATTCCAACAGAATATGTGTAGTAGCAAAAAAAAAAAAAATCACAATGGAGGCCCCGGATTGTTTAGCAACTGAAGTTGTTCATCAAGCAAGAGATGGAAAGACCTGCACCTACAAACCTTCAATAATTAGTGTCCTCAGTTCCCAAACAGTGTTGTTGAAAGGTGAACACAGTGATAAACAACCTGACCCATGTTTTTTTTTAAACATGTTGCAGGCATCAAATTCACAAGTGAATATTTGCTAAAAAAAAAAAGAAGCTAATGTGTGAATGTTACSTAGATTGTAATTGTGTATTCAGTTGAATACAGATTGAAAAGGATTTGCAAATCACTGTATTCAGTTTTTATTTGTTTTACACAATGTCTAAACTTCAATGGAATTAGGGTTCAAAAATTAAACTTCGATGGTGTCAGGGTCAGAATAAAGCAATACAGACACTGAAATAAACGGTAATTGTCAAAAAAAGACAAAACAAGAAGCTCATATTTGGTTGGGAGTTGTTGATTTTTCCAAAAGATAATTTATTCAAATGTTATAAAGACAAAAACAAGTACAAATTAGCAAAGCTCTATTATTTAAACAAACAAACAAAAAAAAAACATTTCATTTCAACTGAGTAGGCTCTACTATACAATGAGTGATTTTAGCTTAAACTAACGGAAAACTTTCCTGAATAAACAGCGGAGACATATTTTACATAGTTTACATCACAATGCACAACTGAAACACTACACTGAAATTCCTTTAGGTTCTGGGTGATTTGAAAGATATTGTGCTTTTCAAAATGTTCTTTAAATTATTGTTGTTGAATTAAAGTTAAACACAGTTTACCRCAACCATTATTACAACTTTGTCAATGTGCAAAAACCCCAATTCTTTACCGAACACGTTTCTGAAAGTATGGCTTTAGAGACACCTACATATAGCCACAACCTTCTGATCACCTGCAGCTACAACGTCTGCTACCTAAAACCCCTCTGTGTGTCTTTTTTACAGAGAACTTTAAGTAAAATATTGCTAGGATAACTAGCATGAATATTTATGTAACAACAATCTAAGGCACTAAACAATGATCTGCATATTCTGGAACAATGAGAACAAAATAAACTCACTGATGAGAAAATGAGTTGAGCGTTCAGAGGGAATCATCCAAATGGGATGTACAGTGAAGGATTTGATTTGTCTAGATCCAATACCAGAGGCCACAGGGGGAGCGACAGTGTTATCAGGCAGTTGCTGGAGCACCCAAGCTGTAAGCCAAGAAACAGCCCACACAGCAGACAGGTGTGGGCCAGATCTGGTGTCACGCTGGCTGACTGCTGGCATGGCCAGTGATTTKTCAACTGGATGTGGGCCAGTTCTGGTAATGATGGTGCTGTTTATAAGATGGCGTGCCACAACAGGACCCTGAGGACTAATACTGAGAATGAGGAGCTTCTTCCCACTAGCCATCAGTGTGTTAAAAGGAGACAGAGACTAAAACTGTAAGATGCATTAATCATGAACTCCCTGGACTTTTTACACTCTTGTACAAACGCTCCAGAGTCACTGTGTCAGGAATAAACCGCACTGTGGATAACTGGAACTTATCGTGTTGCTCTGCACGTTCCTAATACTGTGTTTGCATTTTTATTCCAGTTTGATGTTCATATTTTGTTTATACTATTTTTGCTTTTCTTTTTTATTTTACTTAATTTTATTCAAAATTTGATATTTTAATCTATTTTATATTTGGCACTGTGTTTTATGTTTTTATTTGTAATTTGCAAATTTAGATTGTTTTCTCATTTTTAGACATTTAACTCGACATTAAGAATGTTAATTCAGAGTTTTTGTTTGCAGACTTTAGTGCAAAGCATTTCACTGCAAGTGATATTGTGCATCACTATGCATGTGACCAATAACCTTGACTTGACTTGATTTGAACTGGCCCAGTTGTGGTTTCGTTTATGGGATGCTGGCCGATGCATGGACCACTTCTGGCAAACCACATCCGAGCCACCAAAGGGCCGTCATTCTTTGCCGTACCTGGTCCGAGTGTTGGTGTGGGCCAGAACTGGACCGGACACATATGGCTATATGGGACAGGGAGACTTGTAGACAGGTCGCTTCAAAAGAACTTGATACTTTGAAGGTACCATGATACCATGATGATGACTCCCAGGATATCTACTGGACACACAGGTATTAGGTTCTTCACAACACGTTGGGTCATTGTGGGGCAGCCTGGCAGTGATGTGAGGTGAGGTGCCTTGTTGATGTCATTGTGCCCCCCCAACACAACACCCTGGTTCAGTCTTACTAAACACACCTGTCCACACGTGTCTCTATGGACTGCCTGGTTCTTGTTGAGGACAGCCAGTTCCCCCAATTCTCTCCCCAGTCTCGACCATCAGCTACAACCTGAWCTGCTGGATCTCGTAGTCCAGCTACAACAGCTGTGAGCCGATGTCCTGCGGGACTAGTCCCGCATGAAACAGATTTTTGACTCTATTTCACACTAAAGCGCTGCAAATAACACGACTTGAGTGGGGGGTCAGTCACATCGGACCACCAGTGTGATGCCAACATTTCCTTTCATTTTCATGGCTTCATCTGGGTGCTTAACGTTTTTTTGCCAGTGAGTCTTATTACAGCAGATCAGTCTGCTCAACAGATAGATGGGGGATTAAAAACATTGGTTTGTTTTATTTTTTTTAAAAGAAAAAAAGGAGCACATCACTTTGTTTTGTGCCAAAGTACACATACGGAATCTGGTTTTCAAACTGTACGTCATCATGCGTTTGAAGAGTCCACTCTGTCTCCAGATTGTATTKTTCCATCTGAAACGAAGGGTAAAGAGGCACAACGATGTTCGAGAGTGGCTTAACTCCAGTTGGCGTCAGAACTGTCGTCCGGCCGGGCCTGAGAAGAGTCACCGGGAGGTAAAGATGTAGCTCCCGTCACGGGCGGTACGTTTTGATCACGTCCTTGATGGGCCTCCGGCATATCGGGCAGCAGGCGTTGATCTGCCTCTTCAGCTTCAGCCCGCAGTCGTTGCACAGGCACATGTGTCCACAGGTGTAGATGACCGTGTCCACCTCCTGGTCGAAGCAGATGGTGCACTCTCCGTTTTTGCCAGCAGGGGGCAGCTCGGAGACAGGAAGCCGGGGGGAGGTGGGGGGGCTGAGGGGGGAGCTGGGAGCAGTCACTGGAGGAGAGGCGAAGGGAAACACAAACAAGTGGGGGTCTTAAAGTGGAGCGGACTCACAAACGTGAAAATGTGTCTTTTTTTTATTTTGCTACAGTGACTTCATGTTTACATCAAACACTACTGATGAGAAATGTAACAATAAGTTTGCTGTCAGCTTACCCAGAGAGGATTCAGAAGCAGAGGAGGATCTGTTGACGCTGAACGCCAGGTCTGAGTCACTGTCATCCGGGCTGCTGCTCTGAGAGGCTGTGGGGGACGTGCAGGGAGGGCTGGACTGCAGTGTTCCTGGGTGACAATCACAACAACACAAAGTGAAAACTCATCATGTGGGTATACAGTATTTAGTAGCGACAGCTGTCTGAACGCGAACCCAGAGTCCTGTCAAATTGTGTTCTGCTCATTTATTTAACACCAAATCATAAAAAAATGTCACCTAAAAGCACATAGCAGAAGAGTTTTACACTTCAACCATTCTTTGTCGAGATGAGACAGCGTGCTAATGTGTGAAGTCATTTGTTGCGAGATGTGTTAGCTCTCAGAGTATGTGTCGTAAATGACTGTCATCTACTACCATGTCCAACTTTAGCTCATCAGCTCTAAATTGACTTATAGCTATTTTTTGTCRGCTAWTATCACTTMGCTGTGGCAGCCATCYTGAAYTGGGTTGACTCCRAAAAGTCATCAGTTGTCCATGCTCATCTAGTGATTACTTTCTGAGAGTTTTGTTCAAAATCGTCAATTGGATCATGAGATTATTTTGCTTACAGACAAACCCACACAAACATGATCATCCACCTTTAAAAAGAAAACATTCATATCCAGTTTTATCTATTTAATTGCAGTGCGATCTAATTTTAGTAGGATTCAGATTCAAATCCAACAATTTATATTTTATTTTAATCCGATTCAAATTTTATGTAATAAGATTTTGTAACATTATTTAGTAAAGAAAATGTTCACATGTTTTTTCCATATATCTTTATAGTTTTTGTTGGTATTGGACGAGAGTGTTGCTGAATAATAAAGAGTGTCTGAGCTGAGCTAATGTTTAAGTTGATGTGGGAGTTGTGGGACAGCGGGGTCAAAAGCCAAAGCTAAGCAGCAGCTACAGCACAGTATCAGCCTGGAGGAAACAATAAAATAAAAACAAACATCCAGTTTTTATATTTTCAGGAAATTACCGTAGCTAATTATTGCACTCCATTAAAAAGGTAAAAAAGTGGGTGATAATGCAATAACCTGTGTCTTTGTGTTTGTCTGTTAGCAAAATATGTATCTCATCAATCATATGATGAAATTTATTGAAGCTCTGAGAAAGTAAAGACTGGATGTACATGTAGACCTCATTTGGAGTCAGCTTGGTCAAAATGGCTGACACAGCTAATTTCAGAGATAACTCAGTCGTAGCTAAAAGTGATCCCATGTCACGTTTTGCCTGTCACTCAGTCTGTCTCCTGCAACGCCTCCCTGTTCCAGTAATCATCTTCATTCGGATCACCTGTTCCATGTCTTCTTTAAGCTCCATCGCCAGATTATTGAACGGTTTAGTAAATGTCCAGCGTCCTTGTCAAGTCCATGCCTGTTCTCACGTTTTTGACCATCTGCCTGCCTTTTGACCTCCGACTCCTGCCTGTCCCTTTCCTGGGTTTTTTGCTACCTCTGACCCTCGGCTACAGACCTTGTTTCCTCACTCTGGACTTTGTCACTTGGTTTGTGATTTGGATTAGTTTTTGGCTCTCTGATCTCCCGGCTCTGACCCTTGACCCACTTCTGGACTACCGAACACAGCCTGACCCCACTCTCGTAACACAGACTTCTCCAAACACAAACTGCACCGCTCTTACTGTACCTTCGAGGAGTCTCAACCAGCAAAAAGCAGGTCAGTGGATGACTTCATTTTTGTCATAAATCCATTATCGACCCAACACTCGTTTGTGTTCTGCTCTACAGAGTGTGCATCCCCGAGAGTCCAACGAGACATCAATTTCCAGTTTCCAAATAAAACCTTAAAACTTGTTTTGTCTACACCTGTTCTGAATCCTAACTCCGAAACTTGTCATCCCAAGCTCAAACGACTGCTGTGAGATCAAAGTTTAAAGTTATTTTCTTTCTAAGATGAAGATGTTTTAAATTTAAACATCTGGTATGAAAGGTAGCAGATTATCCACATTATTCTAAAGAATGCTGATTACGTTGATTGACGCTAATTTTATCAGCCAGCAGCTTTTCATCTTTAAAAGGTTCAGCTCAGATTTAATCGTACATTTCTTTGACTCTGTCGGATTTACAGCGAACCGTTACAACAACAAACAAGGCCGAGGTGGCATTTCTCCTTTCTTTGTCTTGAATTCTTCTTCTTGTCAAAACATAAACCCAACATTACCCATGATACCATCTAAACATTTATATATTGGTTAGAACCATTRGGCCTCATGCAAGAACATGTTCGTATTCTTATCCTAAATTTCTCTTACTTTTGTTCGTGCAAAGGGTTCGTATGAACATGTCACGTCAGATTCAACAAACTCTTCTATCTTCAGGAAAAGTGTGTAAATGAGCTGCGTAAATTCCACCTGTTCGTATCCAGCTGCTCGTGCACGCGAGAGGAGATTAACATAATTACCACCCCAAAAACACCATATAAGGCTATGTTTCCTGCCTCAGATACAAAGAAGTGTCCATTCATGAAAATGACAGTGAAAATTAAAAAGAAGAACTTTACGAGTTCAGAGATTGAAGTCCGTCTGTCAGAGATCCAGAAAAGAAAATCTGTCATTTTTAGCAGGTCAGCTGTGGGATAAAAAGAGCTGCTAAAAGTATAAACAACTGTGTTAAATCATTTTCATTTATTCAGAAGACACAGCGCTGCACACCGTAACCCCCCACCCCCCCCAACCCCGCGCGGTCGCAGGTGGTCTCAGTTGCGGTTCTGAAATAAGCCTTTTAAAATGTTTACAAAATAAGTCTGGCACTTTGGAGAAAATCCACGACTTGCTAGAGGGATTATGTATCCCCTCTGGCCTGGGAACGTCTCGGTGTCCCCCAGGACGAGCTGGAAGGTGTCGCTGGGGAGAGGGGGGTCTCCTGCTGCCCCCCACGACCCGATCCCGGATAAACGGCAGAAAACAGACGGACGGACAATTTATATTGTTAGTCTAAATTATTACATTTAAAATTATAACTCTAATATAGCCTACTGTCAACATAATTACGGAGTGTGATTTATTTTCAACTCAAAATATCTTCAAACTAACGAAATATAAAGTTATTAATGAAGAAAACCCGTCTGGATAACAGCAGACTGACTGCTCGTAAAATATACGACAGGTCTGGACCACTCGTGAATTTTGTTCGTATCTGAAAAAAATCTTAGAATACGAAAACATTGGTGAATGCCACAAATTCTCCTAAATCACTCGTACGCACAACTTAAGAACAAATCTTTGCGTACGAACGGTTCTTGCATGAGGCCCATTGTCTTTTGAAACGATGAAACGATGGACAAAGCTGCTTCCACAACGTCTCTGGCTTCGATAGACTTGGATTACAGCTGAAACTTTACAACTTTTCCTCCAATTGTTCCTTCCTAACCTCGTTTTTTGACCTTGTTGGTAAGCGCCATAAGAATCATGTAAAACATATGTCCAAGTCGGTCCATGTTTTACGAGGCATAAGCAGACTATCTAAAACTAAATAAAAACTTTTAATATTTGTATTTGAGCACATTTGTCCWGTCAGTTGTTAAGGCTGAATCTCTGCTATGGTATTGTACAGAGCCCACAAGGGGACATGGGGATTTTTTTTTCTTTTGTGTTCCCTCACAATATCTTGGCGTTACCTCGCAAAACTTTTTTGTGTTACCTTGCAAATGTTTGCATTCCCTTGCAAATTTGTTTTGCATTCCCACACAAAAGTTTTTGTACATGAGCTGAATYAAATCAGACTTTTATTTTCAAATATCCGGTTACCAAAACAGGATRTGTCGCCACAAGTTCGTGAAATTGACATTGATGTTGCGTGGCTGCACTGTGTTAAAATATCGGCATACGACATACTTCCATGCGTGGCTGTGTGATATATTCATTATGAAGCTGAATTAAAGCAGTAGGCTAACTCGCTAATGGTGAACATGTGAGTTTGTTAATAAACCGGCAGGCACAACAGTGATAAACTACTTTTGCGAGGGAACGCAAAAGGAAAAAAAAATCTCCCATTTCCCCTTGCAGGCTCTGTAGTGTTGTAACTAAGAAAGCAAACATCAGACGTGACTTTGTGCTGGGAGGGGAAAAGCAGATGTCGACACTTACCGAGTATCCTGAGTCTGTTAACAACCCCGTGCAGGGTGAAAAAGGCCCACAGGACCTGAGAGGAGTCCACGCAGAGAAGCCGGCCCCGCCCCGCTCCGTTCACCCCGTGGTGCACCTCTCCGCTGGGCAGCAGGCTGAAGCTGAGAACGTCTCCAGAACAAGGCATGGGGAAGCCCCGGTGCACCACCCAGTACTCCTTGCGGTCCAGGAGAACGTCGGGGTCAGCCGGCAGGTCAGCGGCGTGCAGACACGCCGGGTCACAGGAGGTCAAACCAAACGCCAGCGCTCCAAAGTAAGGCAGGCCCAGGTGGCCCACCTCCACGTACAACGTCTCCCCGACGTGCAGCGGCCGGTCGCTGAACACCAGAGTCCGGCTGCTGTCCAGAAAGTGGATGCAGGCGGCCGAGCGGTCGGCCGAGAGAATCACATCAGAGCCCCGGACGGGGTGAAAGTGCAAGTCGTTGTCGAGCAGGGAGGGCAGGCCACCCCGGACCACCCGGGGCACTGAGGCRGAGACAGAGGAGGACGAGGTGGGGGAGGAAGAGCAGCAGGGGATGAGCTGGGGGTAGGTGCCGAGCTGCAGGTTGGCCATCTTGGCAGCAGCAGCCTGGTTGCTCTCCAGCTGATTGTTGCTGTAATTGGCCGAGTCATGGCTGCTCTGGGGCAGGTAGGCACTGAGGCGGGCCGCGCTCAGGCAGCTGGAGCCCACGCTCTCAGCAAACGTGCTGTCTGTCAGGACAAAAACAAGGACGGGACTTTAGAACAGCATCATCTCAACTGTTCCAAATAATCTCTCTTTCTGCTTGTTGCACATTTCTGAAAGATGCCTGAGCAGCTGTACCGCTCAGAATCTAACATCAGTTTATGATCATCTAAACTAAAACACATGACCTTTAGACGTATAATCTGTAGAAGAAATCTTAAACTAAACAAGCTTTAAGAAAAATGTTAAAGTTGCTGCAAGTAGCTAACCACACGTGTGTGTCTCACTCCCTTTACTGTCAATTTAGAAGAGCTGGATAGTAACTGCGTACATTTACTTTAGTAACTTTTTAGGAAAAAAAATACTTTTATGTGTAGTTTTACTATCCTGTATCTTTTACTTTTCTGAAGTAATATTATTATGAAGTATCACTACTTGTACTTGGATAACGTTTCTGAATACTCTACTCACTGTTAGTAACTTCACTGAATAAGGAACAAACATATTTTAACCAGAAATGTGCCACACACACACACACACACACACACACACACACACACA